GCCAGTGTATAAGCCAATTTGGCTGGATCACAGAGCCTGTTTACATAGAAAATTCTTGGAAAAATATGGATAAAAATACATATAAGTTGAGTCCACATTAAGGAGGGTATCTGAAGCTAATGCTAAAGAGTTTTAACTTTTTCTTGTAGGCATTGAGGAACCTCTAAGTTTCTAAATGAGAAAGTAATAAAATGAAAACAGTATTTTATTCCATTAAGATCTTTGTTGACACATGATTGTTCTTGGAATGTAAATTCCTACTGAAAAGAATCTGTAGCTGTTCAATTTCCCTAAGAGAGGGTTACATGCAGAGAGGAAATCAGTAATCCATTAGCAATGAGCACCCCAAGTACAAAGACTGTGGTATCTAAATACCATTTTCACTAAAAGGACTCAAGGCTCCTTGGAGAAATGGTGACTCCACATCTGGAGCAGAATATTTACAAGATGAGCCTAAAGCATTTTTGTCATACAAGAAAGGAAGTAAGCAATCAAGTACTACCAGGGTCTGGTCAAAAAAACTCAAGAGACAACTTGCGGAGGAGGTGGATCCTACTGGCCAAATAAGAAATAATTTGAGCATCAAAATAATAAATATTAATAATATCTGTTCAAGAAAGGAAGTAAGCAATCAAGTACTACCAGGGTCTGGTCAAAAAAACTCAAGAGACAACTTGCGGAGGAGGTGGTTCCTACTGGCCAAATAAGAAATAATTTGAGCATCAAAATAATAAATATTAATAATATCTGTTAAATAATAATGTCTTCAATGACCTAAAATACATCAAAGATGTTAACACTCATGAGTTCATAAATACACTTAAATTGAAGGCTATTAGGGAACTCACTATTCTGAAAACCAAGAAATAAAGAAGAAAATCCACATTTATCCTACCTTTCCTTATAAACTGTAAAGATACTTAATGACATAAAGTTTTTTATTATAAAATAAGTTTAGTTAGGGCCGGCCCGGTGGCGCACTGCTACAGTGCGCCGCTTGGGAGCACGGCGGCGCTCCCGCCGAGGGTTCGGATCCCACATACAGACCGGCTGCTCACTGGCTGAGCGAGGTGCGGGCGCAACGCCGAGGGTTGCGATCCCATTGCCGGTGCCGGTCCGGTACGGGCGCGACACTGAGGGTTGCGATCCGTTGCCAGTCACGAAAAAAAAAAAAGACAAAAAGGA